CATTCTCGAATTTTCTTTCTTCTCCTGCTTTTTGACAAGGCAAAAAGAAGAAAAAAAGGGTCAAATTTCGCGGCTTCCTCCGTTTGGATTTTGCTTGCACGGAAGAAATCGCGAGTGCAGAAATAGATTTTGATTTTCGTTTTTATCCAGAAAACAGGGGAGGGGATTCGGTGGTTATCTTTTCCGGGAATCAGCGAAGAAGAAAGAAAAAATTTTCTCACTTCTTTTTCTTTCTCTCCCGGAAAAGTTAAGCCACAGAAGCACTTCCCAATTTCTCTTCGCCGATTTCACCCAGCACCCATTAGTCTATATCCTCGTGAAAATTGGAATCTCACAAACAAATATCTTTTTTTTTTTAATAAGAGAGAGAATCAAAAAAGAGAAATAAAAAAATGACACTTTTTTGAAAAATAAAAAATAAAAATGGCCAAAAGCCACGAAGTGACAAATTATGACCACGTTTCCCGCTCCTAATTCGTTTAAGTGCAGAGGAAAAAGCCACCGGCTGCGTGAAATCTCACCTCAATTCAATTGCATTCAGATATAAAATTAATAGAAAATTTATATAGGTAAAATTCCAAATCATAATTTAAATAGAAAGTTTAATTAAAATAATATAACGTAAACGCCATGTAATTTAAATAACTTAATTTAATAATATAATCTAATATATCCTTACTAATCACCTATATTTATCTGGGCCATCATTGAAAAATTAATGGGTAATTATTTAAAAAATATTTATTTTTTTTTATTTTTCTATCTCAATGGTTAAAGATTTAATGATTGGAAGCACAAATATGGTTCTCCTTCCTCAGTGAAGACCTAAGTATTAAATATAGACTATATATTTTAGTCTAAAATCTTGGTAAGTTCTTTAAATTTAATATCTATAGTTAAAAAAAATCTAATTTAATTTTTGTGTTTAATATTTTTTTAAATCTAGTTCATCACTATTAGTTATATATTATAATTAATTGATGATAAATTTTGATATAATACCCAGTGAATTGATGAAATTTTAAAATAAAAATGTTATTAAAAAAATTTGAAATTCATCGTAAAAAATAAAATTGAAATTATTGCTTAAATTTGGATTACCTGCATTGCTAAAATCACACCAATCTAAGATGATCTGCAAAATAGGATAGTGTAGTAAAAAGTATAACTCTATAGCGTATCTCAATTATGAGTGCCTTATTTCTTTTTATAGAGAAGAAATTCTAAAGGAGCTAGGATATCTATGAGTGCCTTATTCCTTTTCATAGAAGAGAATCCTAAAGGCACTGGGATATCTTTTTCCAAACATACTTAATCTTTATTTGAACTTCTTGGATATTATAAGAAATCCTCCTCTATTTAGCATATCTTATTCTTTTTGAACCATGGGCTTTTAGGACCTTTTTGTTGGTCTTTTGGTATTCTTCACACTGAAATGACAATATGAACTATACCGACTAGTCAAATTTCTTAGTTGGTCGGCCTCGACCTAGCACCAAGGTTTAGAGCTCTCAGGGCGCTCGGGGCATGGCCTCGTTGCCGCTAGGAGCTGGTTGGGGTGCCAGCCCTACCGCTAAATGACGCTGAGTGCTCTTCTTTTAGTCAGCTACAAATTTTTCTTTTGGCTTTTAGGTCATTTGTTGTTTTTTACTCTCGGATATTGATTCATAATTCGTTTGCCTACTTCATCCATCACAGTATCAAATTCTCATAAATTTAGAAGGTGAATTATAAAATTTTATCTCTTAAATAATTTTCTCCAATGAAAAATTAAATTAAAAAAAAGTGGGGTGGTACACCGTAAAAACGAATCGGCCATCTGCTTCCTCATTGTGATTTGTAACCACGAGGTCCAACAGAAACACGACACGTGGAATTTCCGGTCTTGAAAAGTTCAAAAATAAAATTTTACCCACCCACCCAATTAGTAGAGAGCCCGTGAGACATCCTTGTCGATATCCGTTAACCCGACTACGTGGGCCCCGCTGTGTCTGGCAGGACCACGTCACTTTTCCGGCCACTTGCTTGACGTTTGTCAGACACAGTACGGCAGTGTTATGTTTACATAGAAAATCCCCACCATGGTTTTTAATTTTAACTTCCCCTAAACCTTTGGATATTTTTAAAATTTTAATTTTGTTCAATTTCCGTGGCCCCACAAATTTTCCTTTTTTTTCCAATATTCTATGGATGTGATAACTTACTTTTAATAATTCGAGGTTTGTGGCCCAAAAATTTTGTGTTGGGTTGGAATATTAAATTTCCAATGTGTTATTATGACAGGTTTGAAAATTATTTTTATTTTTTAAAATTTAATTATTGCAGTTAAATATTTTCTTTTTGTGTGTATATATATAGTAGTCTTATTTAGAAAGAATGCATTTAAAAACTCTATATTATAAATATCATAATTGAATATTTTTAATTGTTTTTTTACAAATATAAAAAACTACCTAAATATTGTTATGTTTTTAGATTTGCCTTTACGCAACTTCTTTGTATGGGCAACGTTAAATATTAAACCGTTTCTATATTTCTTTTTAGTATAAAATGTGGGGTAAGAATTTGAATTCATGGCTTTTTGGTCAGAGATAGGTGTCTTAACCACTTGAGATACGTTCGATTTTGTCAACCTTAATTTTATCCAAATATTTGAAAGTTATTAGTTACGAATTTAGAACCACGTTAAGTATTTATTATTATTATTTCATATAATGACTGTGAGGGAGTGCAAACCTTTTTTTCTAAAATTACACTGTTAAATAAATATAAATGCAACAATTATTTTTTAATACAATAATATGTATGAGTGAAGATTCGAACTTATTGTTTTTATTAGAGACAAATACTAAATACTTAATCAATTGATAGACTCGAGTTTGACAATTACATTCGATTATTTGGAGAAGAAATTACATTTTTTTTTAGAATTTTACTATCTACAGAATTGTAAAATCAAGCTATGAAAAGATGTGATAAGTGATAAAGGTGCAACGATATCTTTTCAACTTTACACTAAAGAAAAAAAAAAGAATAAAAAATTTCAAAACAAATATTTCCAGAGAAAAAAACAAAAGGAAGAAAAAGAGAATCTTTTTGTACCTTTTTGGATCTGAGGGAAAGGACGCGTGCTGATCGTCCAAGGAATCCAACAGCATCTGCCTCCTTAATTATTGACCGTCGGATCCTGATTCATATTTGTCGTATTAGCGGCCTTTCTGGTGGGCTCGGAGGCCCATTGTGGCGACTGATTCGGCCCATCGATTCATTGCCGCAGGGAGTTTCTTTGCTGCCGACGAGCGGCTGTTTCCTTTCTCCTCCGCCGCCGTCGCTCACTATGGTGAACGAGACCCGAGAGTAGAACCGTAATGGTGTAAGGTGTTACAAGGCTCCGTCATATCTAAATTCTCAATTTCCTGAGCCGTACGTCGCCGTCGCCGTCGCTATCGCCACCGTCTGTAAGTTTTGTGTGTCGCCGTTGTCCGAATCGCCATATTCAGGGCTCTCGTTTGGTATAACACCAATTCGTGTTCGAATTCGTCGCTTGGAGAGGTTAATTGTTCGTATGTCTCCCGAAGAGGAAAAAATGACTCGCCGCTCTCCTCTTGATTTTTCTTTAATTTTGTTTGCTTTCGTTTAGGGCTCCGATTGCTATCTTTATCTGATATATTTGTGATGAAAAATTCGGGGGTAGGAGATCATAAGAAGGAACCCTATAATTTCCCACTCGAATCATCGTCAACTGTCAACTCTTGTGTTAACTTACATCGATTTTTCATGTTTATTTGGGGATGTCGATTAAATTTATCAACAGTTTCGGGGGTGCTCAAGAAATTAGCTAAATTTTGAATGTAATTATGCCTGGGTAATTCTTGTTTGGTTGATTTTGAAGCAGTGGCTCATTATGCTCTGTCTTGGTACTTTGTTTTGATGGAGTCTGAGTGAGCAAAATGATAACGTGGTGCAAAATATAATCACCAAAAACAAAATTTCATTAGTTTCTATAGGGAAAACCAGCATAGCTTTTTTTGATAATTTGATGCTAGACTAAATGCTGTTCAATTTTATTTTGTTCTTAGCTCATCCTTTATCAGCAATGCTCGTGTAGAAAAAACATGTGAAATATTTTGTCTAAATGGATGTGTATAATGCAATCATACATGGATGAGTGTCTGTTATTGTAGTCTGGTTGATATACCGCACTTGAAATCAGATTTTCATTGAAATTGTAGGAATGGGGCAGACCGAAACCCCGGCAGAAAGCAGATATATTCCCTCAATTCAGCCCCAAGAAGACGAGGGCATAGAAGAAAACAAGGAAGAAAAAGACGAAAAACCCGAAAACGGAACAAGCACGAAGAAGAAAACCTCTGGAGTTCAACAGCATCCATAGGTAGTTCCCAAACTTTTTGGAACGAAGTAAGATGTATTTCTTTTTGTTTTAGGGATAGATTTGTGCCTAGTCTAGTCGGGAAGCTTCTGAGCTTCCACAGGTCTAAAGAACTCAAATCTTTCCTTTGATATCGATGTGATGAAAAACCCAGCTGGGAATTGGGATCTCACTCCAACCTTTCCTGTGGCCCATCTCTGGGGTCACTACAAAGATGCAATAATGGAGAATCCACGTGAGAGAGGAGCTAGAGGGACCTCTTGTTCAAGATTAGATCTTATTGTGGACCACATCAAGACGTCAAATTGTGGAGAAATGCACATGAGAGATAGAGGATTCTGGTAGCATGCTATTTGGATTATTCTGGAGAGAGAGAGATGGAGAAGATTCTGGTTAGATGCCACTTGAATTATTGAAGAGAGAGAAAGAGAGTGGGAGATTCTGATAAGGAGTTATTTGAATCATCCCAAGCCTTAGGAGTTACTTTAAGAAGCACTAAAGCAGAGTGAGAGATAAGAAACTGCCCCAATTATCCAAAGGCTGAGCCCTGAGGAGTAACTTTAAGAAGCAGAGAGATATATAGATGAGAGATTCTGATAAGGAGCTATTTGAATGATCCCCAGACTGAAGACCCAAGTAACTTAAAAGGAAGGAGGTTCGTTGTATTTGTAAAACAGTGCAAACAAAGTCTCACGTTGTCTTACATTAGCTATGGTACGTAAGAGAAGATAATTATCTCTATTTGTATGAAGTCTTTTGAATGGAACAAAAAGCAAAACCGTGAAGATTATATCTAAAGCGGACAATATCATACAATTGTGGAGATATTTAAGATATTGGATACCGTTATACTTCACAAGGTTGAATTGTATCTTTAAGAATAAGACAGTTCATAGAGAGGCTATCTTGACATGGTAACTAAGTGGCACAGCATCTCTCTCTGTGTATAGAATATGTATCCAAATTCCAAATGTTGCTGAAAATGTCATGTTGGTGGGCCGCCTACCACTTTTAACAACAGTAGCAGCACGGACAGCGATGGCTGCAGCCTGCCACGTGTGTAACTTGCGTAGGAGTTCAGCCACATAGGCAATAATTTACAGCTCAACAATTCGACATCATTCCGAGGTACATTCACCTGTTTTTTCGTGTATTATTTTGGGCAACTGTCGTTTTGAATGATTCATTTGACATGTTAAAGAGAGAACTTTAGAAGTGTTTTAAGTTATATATCTTATTGTGATGGGGGATAGGCTGTATAATATTAGTCACTTTTTAATGATTTCATTTTCTTAATCTTTTGGTGGCAAAGAGGAACTAAAAGTTCTTTTAATTATTTATGTAGCGGGTGCTTTTTGAAAAGATAAAAACACCCACTGAGGGTTTCTCCCCGATTTAATTTAAAATTTTCTCTTCTCCAGCTCTGTTTTTCCACTCTCCAAACTACAACAAATAGGTAAGATTTGACCATCTAACATCAGAATAAACCGATTAGTTGAGTTGGGCTCATATTAGTATTCTTGCATCAAAGTCGGTGCAAGGTTTTAATATTTATAGGGTTTCTCTTTTAAATTGTGATTAAAATTAAATAGAAGATTGAAAAGAGAATTCGATAGATAGAAATGGAATATTTTGTTGAATACTTCTAAACATTTTCTAATCCGTTCTTTTTTGCAGGAAGTTTCCAAATCGATCATTTTGAAGTTGCTCATTTATTTTCAGGCTTATTTGTTTGGTTCAAGAATTACGGGGTGAAAATCGATCGAACATGAGTGATTGCACATTTAGATTGACTTTTTGAGATATTTTAAGTAGGCAAGAACTTGAATGGTAAATGTAATAGCTGATTTCAAGTTATGCAAAAAAAATTTAGTGGGACAAAGAATCTTTCTTTGAAATCCAAATGGATTCGGAGAGTTTATAATGATTGTTTCACTAATCTATTGGTTTTGAATTTTATATTTTAAAAAGTCTAAAATATTTTAATAAAAGGATAATCTAATCTAATAACTAATTAAAAGATAATTTTTCTTAAGTTTTAGATAAAACATGTATACTTTTATGTATTTATAATTTTTGCTCGTAGAATAAGAATAATTATAAAAGAATAGGAAATTATTTTTGGGACTCATACCATTTGAATATTCTTAGAATTTGTAAATGAATGAATGGATGGTAATAGGATTAGAACTTTTTGCAACTTTTTGTGGTTATGTTAATTTTGAAGATTAAATATGGTTGAATTTTATTTTGTTACACTTTTCCTTTCTTTTGGTGGAGCCTCCACTTCTGCTAAATCAAATAAAAAGGAGTTAGGAATTGAGCTTTAAATCTTTTATTTAACTCACGTATCAGAGTTGGGAGACAAATATTGAACATGGTATCCTTGAGGATTATGTATAATTGGATTTTATTAGGAAATCATTTTAGTGAAATCATTCGAGGAGAGAAAGTAGTACGAAATGATTGATGAACTAGTTTTATGAATTATGGAACTCACTTATAAAAACTAGAAATAATATATAACTAGAGGTCACCACCATCGGGGTCTTAAATGTAGGTATTGGTGAAATGTTGACGTTTTAATTTGATGGAAATATCAAATAGATGTTTATAGTAAATTTATAAAAATAAAATATTAATTTATAAAAATAAAATAACAAATATTTAGAATAATAAATACGCATTTCATTTTTTAAAATAAGTTAAAATTTATTAAAATCAATATTAAGTTCACGTTGTTAATATTTTGTCAATTTTTTTTTGTGATATTATGAAAATGTCGATTCATCCCTCATATGAATGTCGAGCTCATAGCGTATAGAAATAATGTATAGATGTTGATGAAAATTTAATATCAAGCCTCGAATCAACGATCAACTTTAATTTTACATTGTGAGTACAGCTTAAAATGTTTATAAATAAATATTTTTGTTAAAATAATAATAAATATAATATTTTCTAAATATCTATTAAGCAATTTGACTTAACCATATATATATTGAAACTATAGCATTACCAGTCATTAATGCTTTTAACTATTGAGATAAACTCAAGTTTACACATGAATGAGTTACTTGAATCTTTTTGCCATCATTATTAATTTAMAAAATAAATAATTGACCTCAAAATCAAATGAATTTTAACTTAGATGTTATCAATATGATGTATATTATTTATGCACCACTAAGATCATTTTGCGAGGTTCAAATTGAAGGGCCCATCTTAGCATAGAATTTGCACGAGAGAAGAAGTCTTTGACACTCAAACCATAATAAGTCCAATCTATAACTTCAAATACCAAGAATAGAATCGTGTATATTGGTATGTGGAGCAAGTCCCTCGATTTATAGGCAAAAACCAATAGGTCCCACTTATCCAGTAATTAACAATCATTCCGTGATCCGCAATGTGTTGTTGGATTAGCGGTTAAAGAATAGTTAGGTGTGGTCTTACGTATTTCGGCTCATCCTTTATTAAGGTCGGTGGCATTTAAAATCCAAATAGCTCAACTTGGTTTTTAAGAAGATTGTAGCCTATATGGTCTATTCGTCGACTCAGGCAAAGGAGACATCCGAACCATTCTCAAAGATGCATATATTTCAAAATTAAGTTTCATACATGAAACATCATGGTGATGTGGCACCTTCCAACCTATACCTCATCGCCACGTGGTAGGTCGTTTAACTATACACATTTTGTAAGTAGAAATTGAAATACAAAGGTCGGAAATGGGCCTTAGAGAATTAAAGTTGGGAGAGGTCCGGCCCAGAGACCCATTTACGTTCTGAGGGCACGATATAAAACGACACCGTTGCAAGTTTCCTCGCCAGTAATCGAGTGTGGAGTTTTCATAACAGAAATACCAGACGGGACAGTCCCGCGAAAGCGCGAGCGAGAGAGATGGAGATGGCGACGCAGACCGAAAGCAGAGTGGATCGAAGGAGAAGACTGATGAGCAGAGAGATGGATCGAATGGCTCTGATCACCGGCCGCATAAAAAATCTGCCACCGTCGCCTCCGCCTTCTCCGTCTTCCCCATCGCCATTTCTTTACAATCATCATGCTCATACTCATCAGCGCGGCCATTCCCACACCGGAATTTCCCCCTCATTCTTCTCCAAAGACCTTCACAAGAATCCTGATTCCGTTCCTGTCATCTCTCACATCCACGGTACGCCCAATTCTGATTTCATTTCCTCAATTTCTCCATCTCAATCCTACATTTGATTCAACATTTTACATCTCACTGCTAGCTAGGGCTTTTTTCCCTTTCCTTTTTCTTTTATCTACCGATTTATTGGTTGTTTCGTGATAAAATGCTATTTATCTTGTTATGTGTCTCTATGTAATAGTTGGTTGCCTTTTTACCTATTTTATTGCTCCACGTATCGAGACTCTTCTCTATATATTTAGAGTCTTGTACCTTTTCATAATATGAGTTGAAATATTCTTATTTTGGTACTGTACGGACTATCATTTTATATGTCGTAATTGTGATCTAGAAAGCCAGATTAATTAATTGTAGTTTTTCATATAGATCAATTATATTCTTTTAGTCCATTAAGAGAAAAATTAACATGATTGGATTGGAGATTATTTGAGGCTATTTAATATGACTAGTAATTTTACATGGTTGGATTGCATGAGAGATATTAAATTGTTATTAGGGACATACAAATTTTGAATCGGACAAACTACACGCTGTGGCGGTCACATTCAATAATTTCTCTTAGTTCTATGTGAAGTTGTTTGTCATGACGATTTGATGGATTGATGTAGCACGTGAAATGTTTGTTCATTGAGAGATTTAATTTCATCTAATATTATATGCTAGCCATCATTATATATTTGAGTTTAGTCTACACCTTGATTAAATATCATGTTGAAACCATCTTTCTAGTTTTATTTTGATATATGCACAATTGAAATAGACTCAACTGGGACGAAATCTCAAAAATGCTAAATTATAGCCATATAGTTCTCTGAGTCGTCCTATAAAAATTTCTTTCACTTCATGTTTCATATTGAATTAATCAATTAACTTTGCATGACAAAGTCTTTATCAATGTAGTTATATAGAAAGGTGGTTTCTACACGTGTGCTAGTATTGATCAGATTTTGGTTTTATTATTTGAGTATCTATGAGGTTGCTGGGAAGAACTTTAATTTTTCATTTTTTTGATCATTATGAATTTATGATACATTAGGTTCTTTTTCTTCTTTTCTTTTGTATCATTATGCGGCTCTTAATACAAAATCAAAAGAAAAAAAAAATCAATAACGATATCATAGCTATTCTGGCCATTAATTGTTGGAAACTTTCCAAATCAATGTGCCTCACTTAAAAATTATCGTTTTGTTTTTCGGTGCTAGTTGTAAAAATAATTTGATATTATGATTTACGTGAGTTAGTTTCTAATATAAGAAATCTCATTTGACAGAAGAAAAGAAAATCACTGATCAAGTTAGTAATTTATTATCTCAAGATGAGCTATTAATCACACGTATTTGAATATGAGAATATGGGAATGACTCTTCTATTTATGTACTATTGGTAAGTGTGGTCCACCGTGAAGGTTATCAGACATTTTTGCAGGAATTACAGTGTTGGCTCCGTCATCGTGGGATGATGGGTGGCAGATGTTATTACTTCAAAGTACATTGGCATGACCTCAGCCATTACCAAGGTTATGTTGAGGTCCGATGTCTTTTACCTCGTTCTTTTTCTTCCGACATTTCCACGCCTCACCAAGCGGAGGGCATCTTGCGCTATTCCTAACCATCGGTATCAAACTCACAATTATGGTTGATGGGTGATAAACAATTGGATCCTTTCTCACACGATCTTGAAAGAAGTCGAATGTTGATCTATAAATGAGAAGCAGAATTTTTATCTGTTGCACTAAATATAATTTTGGAGTGAAAAATCTCAGTTTGTTTAATATGGACAATTAAAACCACAGCAGGATCAAAACCTCTGTTTCTCAGATTTGTAATTGTACAAGAAAGAACTCATTTGACTAGTTTCATTTGTTTTGCAGGCATCCCCAAGCCCAGAGATGAAAAGGCAGCCACTTTACTGAAGAGTATGTCCAGCAATGAAGTCGTCCTAGAAGAAAAGAAAAATGCTGTGATTGGAGGATACCAAATCAATTATCAAAAGCTGAACCCCATTGGAGAAGTAACCAGTCCAGTCTCAAGTCCATCTGCCATATCAGTGGCTGAGAAGGCCTCCATTTTTAAGGAACCTGCAGAGTCAAAAACACAATTTTCAAAGCCAAAACTCTTCACTTCAAAACGAGTGAACTCCTGCATTATTGCTTCTCAAACCACCAGAGTTTACTGCTCGGTGATCATCGCATCTTTGGCGGTTCTATCGCACCTGGATCACCTGCTGTTCATAATTAGGAACATAGTCAGGCCGGAGAGCACGGTGGCATCGAAGCCTCTCTACATTCTGCTGCTCACCGACGCGACGATCATCGTGGCGAGAATGTTGTCTGAGAGGCAGAAAGGTGGGATGGAGGAGGTGGCCGCGGTGGAGGAAGAACCCGAGAAAGTAGTAGTGAAGGAAGATGCACATAACTCGTGGGAATCCGCCGTGAAGCTTTTGGAGAGAGGTTTGGTGTTTTATCAAGCTTTTCGTGCCATCTTCATTGATTTTAGTGTTTATGCTGTGGTTGTTATTTGTGGCCTCTCTTTGCTGTAGCTTTACCTTATGTGTCTTTGCTTTTGATTTGATCTCTATTCAAGCATCCTCAGTTCGTTGGAGCTTAGCAGATGGAATATCCCAATTTGAAAGATTTTTGTTTTGATTATGTTTCTTTCTTTCAGAGGTACATATATATCACCATTTAATTTTGGTGTGGCTGCTTATGGCCAATCTTACATAGTTATATCATTCATTTCAAATGTTTAAAGCGTTTACAGTAAATAAATTCCTCTTTTTCATTTTCAATTTCCAGGTTCCTGAGCCATGTTTACTCTAATTAAATTTGAAAGAGAAAATGAGAATCATTCTTTGATGATCTGTTCTTGTTTCCCATGAACGATTTCTAATTTGGTTTGAGCCTACGGTAAGATCAGGGATCATTCACATTTATTATTTTGTTAGAAAGAATGATAGGGAATTCTTTCATCTCATTCTCACTCTTTGTTTGGACATTATATCCTCACATCCATTTTGGTTAAAGTCTCTAGTCTTTACAACAAAATGTTGTTGGTTTATTCGTTTTAATGAAATTTCCCCTTACTCGTAATTTGTAAGGGGAGTTTTAAAATCTCGTCCACATTCGACATCTTTGCATGTCTATATAGATTGATATGGACACAAGGAATGAATCGACATTTCTATTGTATCATATAAAAGAATTGAAATGAAAAACAAAATAAAATATTGTAACGTGGACATAAGTTTAATAATAAAAATTTTTAGAGTGAAATGTTATTTTTTTATTTTTATATATTTTAGAATTTCTTAAGATTTGTTTGATGAGTATTTAGTTTTTAATTTTATGATTTTGAAAATTAAGTTTGTTTCACCTATATATTTCCTCGTTTTATTTAGGAAATCTTTTAAAAATCTAAGTTAAAATTTGAAAACTAACCAAGGTAGGTGTTTGATATCATTTTTTCATTTTTCATTTTTAGTTTTTTGAATAAAACCTTTTAAAAATCTAAGTTAAAATTTGAAAACTAACCAACGTAGGTGTTTGATATCATTTTTTCATTTTTCATTTTTAGTTTTTTGTTTTAGAAAGTACGCTCGTTAGTTCTCTCACTATTTATTTGGTTTGTTTTTCACATTTTTTTCATTAACACTTCTTATCTAAATTTTAAAATAAAAACAAGTTTTTGGAAATTTTTCTTAAAAAAAGTTTAGCTTAAATTTTGAAAATATTTTTAAAAAGTTAGTAACAAGACAAAGAATACATAAGTGGAAGTAGGGGTGTTAGAAAAACTCGATGACTCGAAAAAATCGATCAATCCAACCCAAACTTTGAACCCTACGATTTGGGTTGAATTATAAACTTATTTGGGTTTAAATAAATGAAAATTGTATGGGTTGGATTGATTTAACGATTCACTCAAAATAAGTTTTGGTTGAACTGAACCAACTCAAACCTATTATTAATTTTAAAACTGTTTTTTAGTCACCATAAAAATTATATATTATATTTATTTTAATTTTATTTAATTCAATAATTATTTATTCTACAAGGACTTTTAAGAACAACCTTTTAAAGTTTTTGTTCGGCGTACCTTTTCACCATATAAGTAAAAATCGAATTATGAGTATGGATTCAATGTCTGACAATATATATAAATAAATGTTTAAGATATTATCATTCACTTTTTCTTTTTTTTTTTGTTATACAATACTTTGAATAAATGACCCGAATAATCCGAACCAATCTAATCCAACCCAAATATTTCATAGTTGAGTTGGGTTGAGTTATCAATTAATAAAGATTGTTTGGGTTGAATAAATTTACAACTTGAACAATTAGGTTGAGTTAGGTTAGATACCTGGACTCAATCCAACCAAACCCATGAACACTGCTAGGTGAAAGTAGTAGTTTTAAGCTTAATTTGCTATCAAATGGGATTGTAGTTTTCAAATTTTTGTTTTTGAAATTTGGTCAAATATTCAAGTGCGTTTTTAAGAAACATGAAAATATACTAAATAAATTGTAATCTAACACGCATAATTTTCAAAAAAAAAAAAAACGAAAATAATTATCAAATGGGACCTTGATTTTTTATAATTTTTATCTAGAGCATCCTTCGACATCAACATTTCTATAAAATTGATACCTCGATATTTTTATCAACATCAATCTTTAAAATGTTGCTTGTGGTACTAAATCTAACCTCTTTTTACCGACCAAGGTCACATGTGAAATGAAAATGGCTATACACAAAAGAAAGAGCTCTTTAGCAACTTTCTTATAAGCTTTGGCTTTCTCGCCTATCATGGCTCCTCCTCCTTTTGAAAGGGTGTTCTAATCTCATTATATTCACTCAAAAAGTTATGCATTTTTAATTAATTTTGACAAGTTAAACCCAACTTTATTAATTCAAGTTCATGGAAAATCTTACCTCATTTGATCAAAGCAATTTAAGAACAAATGAATGATAATTTAATATATGTTCACTTTATTTTTATTTTTTTATAGGTGCTTTTAACTTTTGGATAAACAATCATTTTTAATCATTTATATATTTTTATCATAAATTATTTTACATATAAATCTTATTTACTTGAAAATTAGATATTTAAAGAATCTATGAGAGGCAGAGATTCAAACACATACCCATAGAGAGAAGTCATTATTATTAGTCTTGACCATTTGAACTATGTTTAGACCGACACTAATAGAAAATATTTTGAGCATAACAATTTTAAGAATATATGCTTTATGAAGTAAGTTGCTTTTAAACATTTTTTTAAATATATAGTTTTGAATATATGATAGTGAGGTCACAGGTCATGGTTCGTGCTCAATTTCATTAACTTATAAATAAATAAAACAGAAACTTTAATTTGTAGCTGTGCTTAATAAAAACAAATAGAATCTGCTGATGTTGTAGTTGTACTCAAATTATTTTTTGTGAACGTCAGTTTCTTAGGAAGAGCTGTGTCCACTGACAGGCCAAACCAACTACTGTCCAACTAAAATCGACCCGAACCGAAACAAATCAATGCATCGATCCCTATCTATTGCTTAAACTAATTAAATTTATTCAATCTCGTTTGATAATAATTTTATTTTTTTTATTTTGTTTACAAAAAATTATGTCTACCTTCTCTCAATTTTCATAGGTATGTTTTTGTAAACATAGCCAGAATTTAAAAAACAAAAAAAAAATTTAATATTTAGTTTAAATTTTGATTTTTTTCAAAAAAAAAAATTAGATAATAAAGTATTTTGACTTTATTTCAAGAATTTATAATAGGTAGCTAAAATATTTGCTCTATTGGAACATATAGCTACAATTTTTGGGTTTTTGCTGATATTGACAAAATATTTTTATTTATTCTGATTTCAGCGTTCCAAATTTTCAGGTGCAATGGAATATCAAATCAAGCACGTATAAATTATATAATTAGTATATCATATATATCATTGTTTAGGCTTCATGTTCAGTAAGAATATAATTGAGTTAAACCTCCATATATGTATATTTTATAGAATTAAGAATTGGTTGCTACTTATGTAAACTCCTATAATTTTTTTTTGCTACTCTAGAAAACTTTAGCAAGCTCCTCTTAAATTGGGAATTTATAAGGATATATTAGGTATATCGTTACTATATTAGCACTCATAATTAGTATATCAATAGTATATTAAATCAGATATATACATATATCATTATTCGAACATGTTAAGAATATATTGGACCTTTGCTTTATCCAGAGTCGAGCTACCAAATTTACTATTTTTGCGAAATTGAACGGTGAGGGCTGCTTTTAGAAATTTTCTATTAATTTTTTTATACTTTTATACCGACTTCTCTTTTATATCATCAGATAAACTCTCCATATTAATTCTGAGTTTTTAT